GCTTTTCTCCGACTAATCTCTCGCGTGTGTGTGGCTGGTGCGCGTGTCCCCGGTGCTCCTTGTGCACCATCGCCGCGCTTCCACGTTCGGCACCCATCTCGTGCCTCTCCTTTACTCACCACAACAGTTCGCTAGATAACGCAGTCCAATTTGAAGTCTGTACTTCGATAATTTCCATGGGGATACATTATCAAAGCGTCTGATTTCTCTCTAGACAACACGATTTATGTCTTGGCCCATACTTCTAACGAAATAACTGCCCTGCCGAAGCGTCAAGTCTTTGCGAAAACCCGGTGACGGAAGCATGGACACTGTGATGCGTATCTGCCCATTCTTGTGTCAAACTTCCGCAGTATCTTTCAAAAACAAGATCACCTCTGTTAGTATGTAGAATCATGTTCGGCAGACATAGTTCTGGGCACTGAAACATGACATTTCTGATCACGACTTGTCCTTGTCTGGTGAATTTTTGTTGTTTAGAAAAGATATCATTGAATTGAGAGGGGGTGATGTACTGGTCACTGTAAAAGCTGGATGAGAAACTCACGTTATTTAGACCGATTCTTGCCTCGAAACCTTGTGGATTGCGATCTGTCTGCCCACTCGGAATACCTGTGTCACAGGGGTACGCTCTCGCCCACCTAATTGATTTAACGAATTTTTTGATTACCCAAATGAGTCTTTAAGCTTTGTTCAAAATATATACCCAATGTCACCCACATTTCTTGCTGGCGATTTCCGTTATCCGAACATTGGCTGCCAATTATGCGGACCCCTGAATGACGCAGGAAAACGTGAATGTCAACATTTTCTTGCCGCGCTCGCGTAGTTTGATTTGCACCAAGTGGTTTCTGTTCCCACTCGGTGCGATTCAATTTTCCTTACATTAACTACGGAACCGAATAATGTTTCGGTAAATGTTCTGGATGGTTTCAGCCACCATAATATCTTGCATTGTGGTGTGCTCTGATTTCGGTGCACGTTCAAGAACCCCAAGTGGTCGAAATTTCTGGAGCCCTCCTTTACGGCATCTCTCATAATTATATGGTGGTTTTGGGACGTCAAACTCCACATATCAATCTATCTTGCATTGTGAAGTCATATGCGCTGTACAAAAGCTTGCGAATAGAAAGAAATATTTGATTATATCTGAGCGAATGTAGACGGGCTCATCAGGGATATTTCTATCTTTTCCATCAACTGCTTACAATCATTTCATCAACGCGACCTTAATACAAACTGGACACTTCTTCGTGACAAAATGATCGCACTTAAAGAAAAGCATATTCCTAGAGTCGAGGTAACCACCAGTACGCAAAAAGCTTGGTTTACGAAGCATGTACACAGCACTATGAACAAAAAGAGACGTTTATATTCGAAAGCTCACTATCGGCATCTGAGAAAGATAAGATACGTTTTGCGTGAGCACGCGAACCTATGCAAGACCGAGATAACAAGAGCCAAAAATAAATTTTTAATCACATTTCAAACATGCTTCGAAGTGACACGAAAAAAGTTTGGAAAATTCTTAACCCTAATTACGCATCGAGTTTGACGGCTTTATTATCCAGGATGGCAGCATTCTTTCTCCGTCACGTGTCGCTGTAGAATTCAATGCATTTTTTTGTCTGTATTCACGAACTAGACTCCTGTCACAAGTAATCTTCAGGTCCCCCTTCTGCATTCTAGCATGCGCGGCATTACAATCATCCCGGATAGGATACAGACCTGCATGGATCGTCTTCCAACTATAACTCGGCTCCTGGTCCTGATGGAATCTGCTCTAAGCTTCTTGAAATGTCAAAACTTGCAATATGTAAGATTTTATTCACACTTTTTCAGCAGTCTGTTGACACGGGATGCGTCCCAGATGATTGGAAGCAAGCTCGCGTAATTCGCATATATAAATCTGGTGACCCGTCTAACCCATCCAATTACAGACCAACTTTCTTAACTAGCACGTGCTGCAAACTCCTAGAACATATCATTTCACGCGCTGTCATGAACTTTCTTACGCAACATAACTTATTTTTAATCAACTAACACGGTTTTCTTCACGGTCATTCTTGCGAAACGCAACTGCTTGAATAATTTAATGACTAGCATCACTCTGTTCACTGCATGCATCAAACCGACGCTATATTTGTTGATTTTGCAAAGGCCTATGACGAGGTCCCTCACTTGCGGCTTGTTCATAAACTTACAGGTCTCAACATAAATACAAAAATTTTGAAGTGGATTACAAACTTCTTAGCTAAGAGGTGCCAGTTCATCTTTATTAATGACCATTTGTCTCCGTTAATGCACGTCAAATCTGGCGTACCACAGGGTTCCGTGCTAAGGCCTATTTTGTTCTTAATTTATATCAACAATAACAGTAATGGTATGCATTCCACAGGGAGATTTTTGCAAATGTCTGCGTGATTTACCAACAGATTACTAATCGTCAGGATGCCTGTGTGCCGAGTTAGTTATCCCGCGTAGTGGGTATGGTGTACAGTGGCAAAACTGTTCTACCATACAAGGTAAATCTCTTACTTTATAAATCACTTTTCTATTCACATCTTACCTATTGTTTCTTGGTATGGGGGACTACAACTTACACGAACTTGCAAAAACTGTACCTGATGCAAAAGAAGTATATTAGAATCATTTTTAACTTGCCGTATGATGCTCACACAAGCGAATTGTTTCAAGAGGCTGGAATACTACCCGTACATCGTCTCTACAATTTTAAGTTAGCATTGGCAATCAGGCGTGAATTGAAAGAAAGTTGAAATTTTTTGCATGACCTCTGAAAACTGCAGCCAAATAATACATTGTTTGAAACACGAAATAAAGAAACATGGAAAATAAAAACTTCGAGAACAAAGTACTCCACAGATAAGTTATCCCACGTATTGTTCCTACGTTACTTAATAAATATGTGAAAGCTGGCATAGATTTTTTACACTGTACACAGATTCAATTGCGCGATATACACGTGTTTAGTTTTTAAGATTTCTTTGCAGTTGCTGTATTGTCATGGTTGCTGTTTTTATTTTTGGAATTTAGACTTGATTTTATATATTTATTTATTTTTATTTATTTATCTATTTGGTGTTGTTGTTATTGTTGTTGACATCACATTGATGATTGTTTGCCACTGCTGTCGTGCTAAAAGGTAGCTGTGGGCCTTTGTCAAGCTGCCTCTTTTGAAGAGCAACTGTTACCTGCAGCTGCCCTCCATCAAACTACTAATGAAAAATAAACCTTATTATTATTATTATTACTATTATTATTATTATTATTATTATTATTATTATTCAATCTGACCTAGCAAGTCTTAGTAAATGGTGCAATGACTGGCAAGTGCAAATTAACGTTAATAAAACAAAGGCTATCAGGGTCGGAACGCTGGTAAACACGGTGTTATACCACTACACATTGAACAACATACCCATAGAAACTTTATGCAGAATAAAGTACCTTGGTATTCATTTATCATCAGGCTTCATGGAACGCTCATACAGACGCAAGTGTAAGTAAAGCCTCCATATCTCTCTGCTTCATTAGGCGAAATTTGCATTTGGCGAACTCCGAGACTAAACTTCTAGCTTATAAGACCCTACTACGCCCACAAATAGAATAAGCCTCCTTAATCTGGAATCCGCATCAGGCCTACCTCATACACAAGCTGAAGTCTGTCCAAAATAAGCCTGCTCGTTTCACCTCAAAAAAGTACCTACGCACATCAAGCGTAACTGGCATTAATCTTCACTCAACCTAGCTTCATTAGAAAAGCGCAGGATGCTGACACTGTTGTTCTTCTTTCATAAGCCACATTACAATCAATCATCCCACGATACTTTCAATATTAGGCCAGTTCGACATATATCTTCACGACTAGATCACCAGCACAAAATTGAACGCATTCACGCTCGCACAAATCTTTTCTATCATTGGCCACTTCTCATCGCCATTCTTGCATGGAACGTTCTGCCTACAGACATAACTCACATTGTCGACCATGGATCATTTCTTAATCACGTATAGTCATTCCTCTAACACTAAGCAAATCTTTATCAAGACTTGTGTTTCCCCTCTGATGAAAATATTATTTATTGTTGAATGTTTGAATTGTGGTTGTTTTTCCTGTTATGATGTAAAGTATTTGCCCCAACCAATATCACCCCCCCCCCCCCTATGTAATGCCTTCTGGGCCTTTGGGTATCTGAATAAAAAATATTGTATAAAACCGTGTGCATCAGAAGCTTCGTACGCGCCAGATAAACGTTCATTCCCTCCGGGCATGATTCTGGTGCACTATGGGTGCACCCAGCGGAGTGCTCAAATCACGCAGTACCTGGTTCAATAAACGTAAATGTATATTGATTGATTGATTGATATGTGGGCTTTGGCGTCCCAAAACCACCATATGATTATAAAAGACGCCGTAGTGGAGGGTTCCGGAAATGTCGACCACCTGTGATTTTAACCCGTGACCTGCGGGTCAGTAGCCAAGTACCTTAGCCACTAGATTACTGCGGCGGGGCAAACGTAGATCGATCGGCTCACTTCTTTGCTACCGACACAAGCTAGAGAAATAAACAGAGAGCGAAGCTAGGGACGACATAGGAAACATTATTTGTAGCTTCCAACTGCAATATAGAGATTATTGCATAAATGGTGATGACTGCATGTACGGTTTAATGCCCCAAAATTCACCATATGATTATTAGAGACGCCGTAGCGGAGAGCTCTGGTAATTTTGACCACCTAAGTAAATGGCTATGAAAATGCGAATAAATATTCAGCTTGGCGCTGGTGTACCCATCAAACTTACAGCGTTACCCTAACGAGGTTCGCTCCTTATCTGTGGCAGTTTGGATTTTTTATACACATTACTTATTTTGTTTTTGTCATGAATGCTACGTTGACAGCTACATCGCCCCAAGCTTTACTTATCCGAATACTGTCATAAATACTGTACATGTCGATACGTGCATCGCAACACACACCCTTTTTGTCAGCTCACTCGTGATGGTGCGACGTAGCATTGACTCGAAGCAGTTGACCAGAATGCGGAACTTGGCCGAAGTGTCCCGGAGGTGCCAATTGCGGAGACGGCCGTCCACGTCTATGACGCCACCTGAAAGAACACGCTGTTTTTCACTTTGTAACGCACGCGCAAGCTGCGATAACCCGTCCGCCATTTTACTGCATGCACAATACACAAGCCCTCACCGCTGAACATGATACTTCGCAGCATCTCGTGGGCCACCAGGTAGCCAAATGCGCCGAAGTTGATAGAACTGCAGCAGTGAAGAAATAGTTTAGGCAGATGCGAAGAACTGGTTCGTTTTGCATCAACGTAAGAGCTCAAATCGCGTAGAGCAGCTACTGTGTGACGTCATGATTAGACACGTGATATATCTTTTTAGCAACAAGGCATGCAAGATAAGAATGCACCACAAAGGCACATTGAACTATAGAACCAAACTGAGACTACGATTGCCAGGTTTGGCTACATTGCACCAATATGACTACTGTTTAGTTCGGGACTCAGAACTAAATTACACATATCTGCGGTGACACCACCGCCACTGGCATTCAATCATGTGACATCAAAGCATGGCAGCCGAGGCATGCTCGCAGAAAACAAGGTTGAAATGGGAGCTGTCATTGCACCACGGCACAGGCCTTTGTATGGGGCTGAGGCTAAGAGAAAACTATTGCGCGGAGCATGAGTTTGCTGAGCAGTTACGTTGCTGAACGAGACTTTAAAGCACTACGAGATTCCTATATGACAATAAAAATGCTCCGCACATCCCACCAACAGCGAACTCTCCAGTCGACATATGCTGTATACACACGCTTCCTATGCAGGGAATCCACTCGACGTCTTGTGCGGTCTCTTGTGGGCACTGATACTAATAAATATTGTTATGTTGTTTTGCAATCGAAACGAGGTTGCCTTAGATAAAAACATGCGTATATTGTGCTCACTTGCGTGCATCAGCTAAGTACGCAAGTAATCCGGAAATCACAATCAGCCCTTCCTGCGTCAGTGAGAGAACACACTGCAGCAGTGACATCGCATGGAACTGGCTCGGGTGGTGTAGCCGTGCTTCGTCGTGTGTAATTGCGCGAGTGCTACCGTATTTCGCAGGTTAGGCTGCTTTATTCGCTGCCTTGTTACCTGTTACGCGCCGAGGTGTGTTCAACAGGCGACAAGAGGCGAACTGGGCTGCGCCACTCGAGGCTGCAGTGCTTGGCGTGTCGATCATGTAGACGCACTGAATGTGTGGAAATATGCGGCTTGATGTAAGTTCAGAACATTCCAAGCCACTGTGATGTGAACGTTTTGTCTTAGCGAAAAAATGAATGTAAGGTAAACGCTCATCAATCAGTGAAATGTGTGACCGTTGGCAATATAGGATTTAACGACTTTGATTTTCAGCTCTCACTTAGTGAGACTATACTTCGGCATTCGCACCGGCAAGTTTACACCATTGACTTGCTCGCATGCAGCACACAGTAGGCACGGATGGGCTCAGGCTATGCTAAACGGGAAAGGGTTGGTAAAAGAAGTGACGCGGCACATGTTGCGACACGTGTTGGGTTTTACACACACACTACACACACACATACGGGTATATATATATATATATATATATATATATATATATATCTATATTGTGACGGGGTGAGAGTAGGCAGAGAGGGTAGAAATATATTTACAGATTGTACACGGAGTACACAGTGTCCTTGAACCAAGATGGCGGAGTGGCAACAACACGAGCTTTTTTTCAATCGTCATCTTCGTTGCCTTTATGGTGCATTCGTTGATGTTAATTATGACTTGTATAATATAGCCGCCACCGGTGAAAGCGCCGTCTCAGCGCTTAATTAAGCGTGCGATCCTGCGCATAGAAGTACGGCTTAAGGCGGGAGCCGTGTACAATATCAGTGGACAGCAGAGACGATGAGGATAGAGTGCCCAAGGGCGCGATCTCATTAGCGACCTCGATCAGTTGGCGCATTACTTTGTAAGGCCCGTTGTAGCGAGCGAGGAACTTCGAGGACAGGCCAACATGACGGGAGGGAGTCCAGAGCAAGACCAACAATCCTGGGGAGTAAGAGACAGCTTTGTGACGGCTGTCATAGCGATCCTTTTGAGATAGCTGCGACGCAGAAAGACCATCCCGAACTCCAGCCCGAGTATTTGCATCGCGAGCGCATTCGGTAGGAGTGTCAGTAGGAGTGTCGCCCCTAAAAAGAGTAACCTAATGGCAGCGCATCACTGGAGTTGTTGGCACGACAGGAATGACATATTACACGCCGTCAGATATCTTGTCAGCGTGCTGTACCCATCAAGCTAATGACAAGACATTTGCAACAACTCAGGTGTTCTTGGTGGAAGGCATGATCGAAAAGCGGGAAAACTTCGTAAATCCAAAACGCCATCCACCAGCTACTAAGGATTCGTACAAGCCAAAGTTGACCGACTCAAATGTTACAAAGTCCTCAACACCATGCGTACAAGGACCCGACGGAAGCAAAATGAAGAAAAAATTGGAAGATCCCACGTATAGTGGGAGTTGATGATATGCGAAGCATGAATGAGAAATGTTGATATGTCACTTCAAAATCAGCACAGCGTTACGAGGTGGATGTAAATGATGCCGTACATGACTTCCGTGTCATGATTATCATGTTTGGATGTGTCGTTTACCTTCGTCATCCATTCACGTCATGTGATACCAAATTTACTATATGTGAAGCTTGCGAAACGGCCGTGAGCATGCTATGAGCGTGATATGTTGCATGTTTTTACGTGACACACGTGTCAGGATTGTCATGTTTGCACCAGTCATATATTTCGTCATCTATTGACGTCACGTAACACCAAATTTGGTATATGCGGAACTAGCAAAACTGCCGCAAGCACTTCATGAAGGGCCCAAAGTACTCCAATGTAGCGTTGACGTGCTCGCACACTAGGCAGAGCAACGTTACGTTAGCAAAACGCGAGCACTCTATAGTACGACGCCAGACGCGACCGTCGTCTCATGTTGTTACACGACACGCATGTCGTGATTATCATGTTCGGATGTGTCATTTACCTATGTCGCCCGCTCGCGTCACGTAATACCGTGTTTGGTACGTGAAGCTAGCGTAACGGCCACGAACGCATCATGAGTGTGGCATGTAGTCATGTTGTTACATGGCACGCATCTCATGTTTATCATGTTTGCACCAGTATCATAGATTCATCATCTATTCACGTCCCGGAGTACCACGTTTGGTATAACTGAAGCTAGCGTAATGGCCGCCGGCGCAACATGAGCGTAGCATGTAGTCATGTTGTTACATGACACGCAACTCATGATTATCATGTTTGCACCAGTCACATTACCTCGTCGTCTATTCACGTACCGTAATACCAAATTCTGTATATGGGACGCCAGCGAAACGGCCGCGAGCGCATCATGAGCGTGATATGTAGTGATGTTACATGACACGCATGTCATTATTTTCATGTTAGAATCTGCCGCTTGTGTTTGCCATGAAATCATGGCCTATCACACCAGTTTTGCAAAATGCCATGTGAACGAAACCACCCCAAGAGCTGCTGGATCCTGAAATGTAAATCATGACATTCATGACATACGTGTCAGTCTTCATGTTGTGACTAGTCAAATATGTTCTTCATACTGTCATGCTAGGCGATACCAAGTTTGGTATCGATACCGTTATCGAAACGGCAGGAGGACTAGAAGTCGTAGGCAGCTAGATAGATATATACGCTCAAAGTCAGCGAAGTTCGCAAAAAAATGCTTTCCATTTAAAAAAATTGACCCCGCATCGGCACGTTAATCTGCAAATGTCATTGAAAGATAATATTCTGGCGAGTGAAGAGAGTGAACGAGACATTTATTTGATATTCTGCGCAAGAAAATCGGTGAATGGTATTCTGGAGGCGCTGCGTTAGACTGCCTCGAGCGTGCAGCGTAGGCGAACGAACGCATCAAGTCACGTCACACGTGAGACATGAGCGCCATCTGGCAGTTATCTTAGAAAACAAAACGCATGGCTTTGAGACGGGTGTGCGCGCCCGTCTCAGAGGTGATAAGGTGTAGAACGCAAGGCGACGGGTAGGTGCCACCACCGTCTCGTCTTAGAAAAGCATTGGAAACTTTCGCTTTTCCGTGCAAGCGTTGCATGGTCGGTGGAGCGTGATAAGCGCTAAGGTCCTTAAAATTACTTATGTATACCTCTCCTAGTAAGAGACGCACATGCAGAATATTTACGTGTTGTTATGGTGCCCCAGACATGCGCAATAATTGCTTTTTAATTGACAATTGCACAAACATGAACACTCAACCTTGAGCAACATTAGTGGGCGCTGCGGATGGGGTCGGCCGTTTCAAGTACCCGATGCCTGGACTGGACAAACGGACAAATGTACATACAGACAGACAGGCCAAATTTTTTGCGTCGAAGGTCCCCAAGAAAGACTATCGTCTTTAAAAAACGGTGCTGAGCGTTCGACGCAGTCGGGTGACCGGACCCGAGTTTCGACGCTCTAGAACGCGGTCCACGAGTTGAAGCAACGGGCTTCCCGAGGCCGTTGACGTGCTCCACCTCCGACGCTTACCCTCGGCTCCGGGTTTCTCCTGAACTCCTACAAGGCGTTGCCAACCTCCTTGATGCCATTCTGCATCGCTCGTCATCTCGACACGTAACTAAGCGTCGAAGCTACCCAGCGCCAGTGTCAGTGTACTTTCTTCCCTTCGTCTGTATTTTCGTGGCCACATCCAAGAAGCGTATACCTACCCAAACACGCTAGCAGAACATAGCACATCTTTGTATTACATAGCAAATAGGTGAGGGATAGGGTGAGCATAACCTTGTATAGTGCAGTGTAGCGAGGGAGAGAAATGCAGGTGAGGAGCAGGGTACAGCATAACAAGGAATGGTAAATGAGAGTGAGGGTAAGTGGGCCCGGCACCACACTTTCTTCAGCCTTCGAACCATTTATGCTAAGCAACCTTTTCACGCCGAGAATAAGACCTTCAGCCATGTTCGTGTTGCTATACATAATACGGGCAACAACAACGCTCATGGCCGAAACAAAATGCAACAAGGAAACGAAAAAATGCAATGGTGAATGTCAATGTGCCCTTGAAAACAAATAAAATTTTAATGTCAGTGACAAGCCCATGAATAGAAGGCATCATTCGTTGGACTACCACGCACACAGGCAAATACGTATCTCAATGACACAGCTTTTATGGCCTATTTGGGTGGACTCGCACTGCTGCACATACACGCGCCGGCGTCGTGGGTTATGCTCCTATGCCCTAAATCAGTTGAAAAGTGTTACTCACGGGCTGAGATCAGGGGCCAGAATACCAGGCGTCGAGAGTCCAGTCACTATGGCAGGCACAACTGCGGATCGAACAATCGTGATTAGGACATGACACGCGATAAATCTAGCGCTGCCAGACACAAACTATATATATATATATATATATATATATATATATATATATATATATATATATATATATATATAAGGAAAGAAGTGTATACCTAAGGGCTCGTTTTTCGTGTTTTTACACAATAATAATGAGATCTAATAGACAATAATGCCAAGGAAAGTATAGGGTGAAGATATTAGACCAAATTGTAATGTGATTATGAAAAAAAGTGGGTGAAAAGATAAGTTTGCCGTGGGCAGGAGCTGTCGTGGTAGCTTAGTGGTAGAGCATCGAACGCGTCAATCGAAAGTCGCAGGCTCGGATCGTGCCCACGGCAAAGTTATCTTTACACCCACTTTTCTTCATAATTACATTACAATTAGGTCTAATATCTTTCCCTATACTTTCCTTAGCATTATTGTCGGTTAAATCTGATTAATAAATAAATATATATATATATATATATATATATATATATATATATATACACATTGTGATGACGAAGACCGAAACTGGCATTCTGGCACAGACGCGCATGCTAGGTAATCGAGGAAGAAGAGGCAGAATAAGAACAGCTGGCCCATGATCGGGTATTGTCTCTGTTCCCTTCATTACAATGGCGCAGTTCGACAAGTAAATAATCTGCGGGAAGCCACCGGTACGTGTCTTCGTGGTTTGTCGGCATCGCGGGCTTCTCCATCCAGGAACGCCGTTCACGCTTCCTTGGCAATGGGGTCCCACCCACCGCTTCACTTACCCTTCAGACCACCAGTGGACGGCGTCCAGGCCTCCCCTGGTTTTGTAGGGCATGACCTCATTGACACCCTGCCACCATTTCACGGCAGGGATCCGCACCGGCTCCTGTTCTTTGAGAATGCCACTCACGCTTCCCATGGCCTACATTCCCGTTGCCGCACTCTTTCAACATACGAGCTGCCATGGAACGCCGTCCAGGCTTCTCTCCTCGTCAACCTCACCGGCGTGAGTGCTGCAACCGCTACATATTCGAAGACCGCGATCACCGACTCTTCGGGGTTCATACACGACAGCGCCGCGAAACTGAGGTATTCAAGTAAGTGAACTCGTACTGAGTGTACGAGTGCTGGAATACTTTTCAAGCTGACAAAAACTATTTTCCCGAGACCCATCAAAAATAGCCATTTTTTGCAGTAACGAAAGAGTTCAGCGTCTCGGTAGAGCAACAACATGGCACAATCATGAAGACTCGTTAGCACCAATATTGGCTCGCACAAAAGCATTTAAATACAGTTTCTTTCCTAGTACGGTCGCGGATTGGAATTCGTTGCCAAATAGTGTATTCAGCTCCGATGACTTTGTTAGCAGTATCCAATGCTTAACAGTGTAGCACTCTTTGTTATTACCGCTTCTACTTGTACCTACCACATGAATGATGGCCCTATCTTTCAATGATTGTCATGCTAGCTTTATTCGTACGTTTTGTTTCTTGAGTTCATTGATTGCATTGTTTCTGTATTTTACTTTGCATTGTACGCGAATAGCCCATGCTCCTTGAGCCAAAATGTTGGCTTGCAGTAGTTCAAATCAGTACTGTCAAAAACTAGTACTGTCAGTAACTAAAGTGGGTGGAGAAGAAACTGTCGTCTGGAGCGGCCCACAGACTTTCATTGAGCTGTTCGCTTCTTGGGCACAAGTTCGCCCCAATCACTTTTTTATTAAAGTGTACCTTTAACTGCGCGTTAGCAACTGGTGGGGGAGCCAGGATATAATTCCAAATTTTTGCGAAGCTACGTAACGCAGCCCAGAGCCACAGCGACTTGAATACAGCGAGCTCACTCTAGTTCACCAGCGCTGCAGCCGTCGTTTGCGTGGTGAGGCCCCCGAATTTTAACCTTTGTCGGATTCTCGCAGGGTTTCAACGGCTGTGACTGAAAACGCCAGCGACATGACAACTCTTGTTACGCCAGCTATAACATTGCTGGGAATTCTCCACTAACATTGGAGCCTTTTCACGGAGATGCCTAAGAAAACGCGGAGGAGGCTAAACGGATTGGAGGCAGGTCGCAGACTGGGGCTCGCTTACTTCGCCATGAAGAATAGCGCTCGAACGTAGTTTGAAAACCACGAATGTTAAGACATCTCGCAAATAACGACAGAACGTAGTACCTGGTGGCTCGGCGTGAGGTGGCATAAAACGAAGACAGGTTTTGTTACGCGTTTGTTGTCACCGCATGCAGCGGGCGAGTAGAAAGAGCAAGTCTCATTTTGAAACTATGCTAGTAATTCGAGGACGATAAGGATATGCCCTAAAAGCAAAAAAACTGATAACAACAGAACGAATTGCTGATAGTTATCGCGTTAAAACACTGGCAAGCAATTTTATGCACGATATGACGAGCACACTTACCGATTGAATTCCGATATACATCGTACGATATGGATGTGCGCAATTGTGGAACCGGTATCCTGCAGGCAAAATAAAAAGCCGTTCTTGCTGTATGCACAGATGCGCGCAACACGAACTCACCGGTCCATGTGGTTGTACTTTCCCAAACGCATCCACATCTGTTCTGCCCTGGCTGAGAGAAGTACGACCACATTGGTGCCAAAGCTCGAGTCTGGGTGCAGCTCCTGCAGCGCGAGAATGAAACAACCATGTTGGACAGGGTGGATCGCAAGGCTCAGTGCTAGGCTTCATCTCAGTTGGGCTTGACTAGGCCGCATGTGACTCGGCTCGGTGCGACTCAGACAACTTACCCTGTTGGACCTCTGAGCCCTACTGCGGCGGCGCAGCTCTCATAGAGCAAAGAACACGTCTTGCCAGATGTAGGGCTTTAACTGAACTCAGGAAGAAAGAAAAAGACAAGGGTGATCCAGCGCTGCCACGAGGCCAAGCGTCAGCTCGTGAGGAGGCTCAATAATGATAATGGCTGTTGTTCTGCTACGAGGGATGAATAAAGGGAAATCACAACATACCCCATAACCAGCTTTCAGGGAGGGAGGGAGGGAGGGATGGATGGATGGAGGGAGGGGGGAGGGAGGGACGGACGGACGGACGGACGGACGGATGGATGGATGGATGGAGGGAGGAACGGGCAGGCGGGCGGAAGGACGGACGGACGAACGGATGGATGGACGGATGAATGGATGGATGGATGGATGGATGGATGGATGGATGGATGGATGGATGGATGGATGGATGGATGGATGGATGGATGGATGGATGGATGGATGGATGGATGGATGGATGGATGGATGGATGCATGGATGGATGGATGGATGGATGGATGGATGGATGGATCCAGCTGTGCCCTTTAGACAGGCGGTGGCTCAGGCCACCTAGCCATAGAGTTAAGTACTATCACTGTGTGTTTAAGGATTGAATTTCATTCGCGCCTCGATTGTAGCCACCAATCAGTTAGCCTCCTCCTAGTTATTTCTACCCGTTTAAAGTCTATTTTGCTTTCACTGTCCTTGAACTCCAATGCTTTGAAAAATTCGGTGCCATCATCTTTGACTATAAGGTGGAGCCATTTACAGAACAATGTTTAGCTGTTTCCTTCTCCTCTCCACACGCACTACATACTGGGTCTGTGCCTTCGTATTTTGCACGGTACGTCTTGGTCCGAAATACTCCCGTTCTAGCCTCGAAGAGCAAAGAACTACCCCGAGAATTATCGTAGATCTTTTTCCTTGCAATTTCCTGCTTAAAAGTTCGGTAGGTCTCCAGTGATGGTTTTGTAAGCATTCCCATCTTCCACATGTCCCCCTCTGTTTCCTTCACCTTCTGTTCAACCAATGTTTCCCTTTGGCTTGATATTTTGCTGTTGTCTAATTTTTGCTTGAAAATTTTCGTGTTCATTTCCTCCATTTAGTATGGACGTTCTTCATGTACAAGAAACTGGAAACTTCCTAGCCCAACGCTCCTCTCCCATTTTTCTCAATCGCTCCTCAAATTCTATCTTGCTGCTAGCTTCCCTGGACTCAAACAATCAGGGACACTGACCCAGAGCCACAGCAACTTGAATACAGCGAGCTGGCGGCCACGGCTAGAAGCTCGCGCGTTTTCAATGGGACAAGGTCATAGAGGCAAAAATTGAGGAAAAGTTCTGAAAGGGACACGTTCTGGGAGCTCTACTGCACTTCACAAATGCAGCATTGTTAAAGTCGGGGCTTCGAATTCTGTTTCCACAACAAATCAAATTTACACAATGGGGCTCTATGGAAACCACCGAAATCCCAGCTTGTTTTTCGGGACAAAACAAGGCCTTATGAAAAAACTATGCGGAAATCTGCCCATGTTTCGGAGATCTAAGTAGTACGAAGAGCCTGCAATTTTGTTTGAGCCTGCAATCATGTTTATTCGAGGCGAAAAGTGCTTTCCAAAATGCAGTTTTCTACAACGCAGTCGTGTCACTGATACGAGTCTTGGACCATTGTATCTTGTTAAGACAAATTTTATCGCCTAGCACCAAGCTGGTGTTATGGCCGAGTGCAATAAAGAAAAAAAAAGGTGTAATGGCCAAGTTGTTCGAGTGACCAAGCACGTAGTTCGCGGGCGTTCAATTTGTCGCGGCGTGGGTTCAAATCCCAAGAAAAATATTTTACCTCTGTTCTTTCATTTTTTTTTTACAGAATTCCTGTCAGTGGTTACTGTGTTCGGCTGCCGATCCGATGGAAACGAGTTTGATCGTAACCGCGGCTCTAGCATTTCGAGGCCGGCGAGAATCATAGAGTACTTATATGTATGTTCGTGCTTGCGTTTGCATGTGTGCATGTATATATGTGACGCTACGATGAATGGCAGAAGTGGCCCAGCTCATACTCCATGTTTTTTCTATTCTGACCTTCTTCCTTCTCTGCCTCTACTACTAACTCCTAACCATTGCTACCTTCTTACGTTACAGGGGACTCCCCCCGAAAGAAGTCGCGTCAGATGAACATAAATGAAAACTGAACATGCACGGCTTAGAACTGAACACTGTCAAAAAGAGAAGATCATTCCAAGTCCGAGGAAGTTTCCGTTAACACACTATAGCTTCACAGGAGAGGACAGCAATCCGGGGTATCAAGTACAGCTCTGGAGCGCGAGGCTGGCTGTTGCGCTCTGGACAAGATAAGCATGCTTTGAGCGTGAAGTCAGATGGAAACACAGCCGGTATTCTTGCGATGAATGAACGTGGTGTGCTGGCCTTGAAGCATTGGCTAGATGATTTGCGCAGGTGTCGTGCTATTTGTCTTGATTGGAACCCATGCGGCGCCACCCGTTTGCGTGCTTGTTGACCGAGGCTGGTGCGGTGATTGCTGCGTCCTTGCGGAATACAGGGTATGGTTTGGCGCCTTTCTCGACGTTGTATGTCGTGTTGCCTGAGTCTTGATCTCGACTGGAGAAAGCTTACTCGACGTCCCTTGGGAAAATATCCTGGATTCGATGCTTTCTTTGTTTCGAGCAAGAAATCTTGAATATGTCGTTGGTTTGGTTGACACGTTTGTAAACGGCTTTCCATAAACCACGTGTGTTCTTCCGAAGATGATTCCATTCGTCGTCGTCCTTGTTCGTATAGCCCTTGGAATCTCTGTTGTTCTTGGACTTGCTGGCATTGATGATGTTCCTGCGAAAAGACCTGAGGTTGCAGTCCTTTTTCACCATGACACTGACTTTCTGGGCAATTGAATGTGGTGTCGAGTGGGCAGGTAGTAGTCTCTAGGCCATTGTGTTGCATTTCGGGTAATGAAAGTAATGCTTCAGAGTTGATAGATATATCATCAGGGGCTTCTTCTTCGCTGTTCGCGGCGAGTGGTTCTTGCGCCTGGATCTGGATGGTAGGTTCAAAGCTTGGCTGAGTATTCTCTGAGCTCCGCAGCTCTATCCCGATCATTGTGAGCGGGCTAGATGTGAAGTGGGCGTTGTGAGCGACGAAAGAGCCAAGTGACGGAAAACCACGAGGTAGCCCAATTGTGCTAGATGAAAAATAAGCTGATCCAATGTGTGGAGACTGATTTTCACTCTTTGAGTCGTCATGGCGTTGTTCGGCATTTTCCTCATGTGTCAGCTGGTCTACCATGAACAATGCGTCCTTATGACACGAATAGTGACCGTTAGGAGCCTTTGAAGAGCTGTGTCGTAGAAAACCAGGTGGCGGACCATGTATGCGAGACGAAGCATGAAAGGCATCAGTAGGGTGAGCGACGTCTCGTGTCGTATGTTGAAGCGATGACTTCGGAAATGCTGACTTTCGCGCAGAAGGGATGCGCGCTTGACGGTTAGGTTTTTCCCAATATACGCATGGCCTTCTGTAAGTAAACTCATGTGCCACTTCGTCTTGAAGCAGTTGTCGATTCGCGCTGGGCTTTCGAATGATTGAGGACTGCTTAAGGAATTGACGATAGTGTGCGGTTGTCTCTAGATGGTTGGCAATGAGTAGGTCTTGGTCATAGTCGTTAAAATGGGTAATCATCTCCTCTTTGATTTTTTGCCATGATTCGTAATTTTCAAAGATGTGGGTGAGGTAAAACCTAAATGCCTCACCGGAGATGTAGTCAGTGAAGTTGATGATCATCTCCCGTTCCAACCAGGATGCAGCGGCAGCGTGGAGCTCGAATAGGTTGAACCAGTCCTGTACGGGTCCGTCGTCTGCTGATCCGGTGTACTTGGGGATGTCGACGTCAGTCAATGGTTCTGTCATGGTGCCGGTAACTGAATGCGCCTGAGATCACCTCTTCTGTGGTCGATATTCAGTTGAGGCGTACTGCAGGTGGCTTCGTGAATGATGTGAGGTTCACGAGTGGTGGCCAGTTCTTCATCCTGTCGACTCGTGCGATGCTACGATGAATGGCAGACGTGGCCCAGCTCATACTCCATGTTTTTCATTCTGATCTTCTTCCTTCTCTGCCTCTACTACTAACTCCTAACCATCGCTACCTTCTTACGTTACAAGTTGGGAGTTGGAAAGGGTTTGAACCCCCGCTTCCCCTGCCCCCCATTGGCGGGCGCAGCGGTACATTCTACGTTAGCAGAGCTGGAGAAAACTACAAGTCTGCACTCCAGTGTGTGCACACTGTGAGTCAGCGTTGAAGGCGTGCATATGGCATAACGTAAATAGCAAGGAATAAGAGTAATTTTCGTCAGTCATAGAGTTGGTTGCGATGGTAGCGAAAATGTCGCAAAGATTGAAATGGTGTTTAAATGGCTTATTTCTTTAAGGATGGTAGGTAACGTTGCTTCACGCGATAAGCCCACAAGGCAAGCAATGCAGTAATTTGTGCTTCGCTCCACTTCTACCTCTTCACGTAGACTACATCGCGAGCTAAAATTGTACAATATCCGGCAGTGCCTTTGAATATTATTAAAAGTGTTCGCTGAAACATTAGTATTCTTCTTATTGATGTACACATGTACTCCACTCGCCTCTAAACTGCCAAGCCATTCCATTACATTTGATATGATTGAATAAATCAATAAATGAATAAATGAATGCTAAGCACGTGTTACACTCACTAAAAAGCTAAGTCTAAAACCTGACTGGCCTCTTGACACGCGTTTTGTCGCAGTAACAACTGAGTTAATATATAAAAAAATATTTTCAACTGTGTACCTATCATGTAATCAAACTTGCACATTTTCGTTTCAC